GACACAGTATACTGACTCCGAGCCGACCAGTCCTTGTTTTAGCCCCTTAATGCCGAGCGCCAGACAGGGTAACAACAAGTACAATCTTTTAACATCTTTTGGTATGACGCGGCCGGGGATCGAACCCCGGACGTTCCGCTCTCCGGGCGGACGCTCTACCACTAGACCACGGAGGCGGTTCATGAGCAAAGTACCAGGGATATGACGACGGTCTGTATATAATCAAGTCTGAGCTTCGATCTACGCAATGTGGATTTTGTGTACGTATTTTGTAATGCTAGCCCACTGAGATACCATGCTGCAGTTTAACATGGATACCCCACTCAGACACAGTATACTGACTCCGAGCCCACTCATGAAGCGCCAGGCAGGATAACAACAAGATCCAAGTTATTTTGGCATGACGCGGCCGGAAATCGAATCCGACCTTCCGATCTCCGTGCTCAGGGGACCAGACTCTCCTTACACTTAATAGGGACAAATAATCAACGACATCGCATTTAACAACAACACAGCCGATGGCGAAGCAAATATGTCGAAGTCAGTGAATACTGCTGCCCTTGTGAAGATCCGGGTTAGAGTAGGTCTTCAGCAACCCATGCATATCTCCATCCCTGAAGATCCGGGTTAGAATTGATCTTTAGGAACCCATGCTTGTCCCCGTGAAGATCCGGGTTAGAAAAGGTCTTCAACATTCCATGCTTGTCCCCGTGAAGATCCGGGTTAGAATTAGTCTACAGGAACCCATGCTTGTCCCAGTGAAGATCCGGGTTAGAAATAGTCTTCAGCATTCCATGCTTGTCCCCGTGAATATCCGGGTTAGAAAAGGTCTTCAACATTCCATGCATGTCCCCGTGAAGATCCGGGTTAGAATTAGTCTACAGCAACCCATGCTTGTCCCCGGTGAAGATCTGGGTTAGAAAAGGTCTTCAACATGCCATGCTTGTCCCCGTGAAGATCCGGGTTAGAATTAGTCTCCAGCAACCCATGCTTGTCCCCCGTGAAGATCTGGGTTAGAAAAGGTCTTCAACATTCCATGCTTGTCCTCGTGAAGATCTGGGTCAGAATTAGTCTTCAGCAACCCATGTTTGTCCCCCTTGAAGATCCGGGTTAGATTTGGTCTTCAGCAGCCCATGCTTGTCCCCCGTGAAGATCCGGTTTAGAATAGGTCTTCAGAATTCCATGCTTGTCCCCCGTGAAGATCCGGTTTAGAATAGGTCTTCAGAATTCCATGCTTGTCCCCCGTGAAGATCCGGTTTAGAATTGGTCTTCAGCAACCCATGCTTGTCCCCCTGAACATCTGGGTAAGAATACGTCTTCAACATTCCATGCTTGTCGTAAGAGGTGACCAACGGGATCGGGTGGTCAGACTCACTGACTTGGTTGATGCATGTCATTGTATCCCAATTGCGCGGATCGATGCTCATGATATCAAGCACTAGATTGTCTGGCCCAGACTCGATTACTTACAGACCACCGTCATAAAGAAAGAACACTGAAGAGTGCGGCGTTAGACAACAAACAAACAAACAGACAAACAAACAACTTTTACTCTTCCGCTGCTTGTAGTTCTCCTCCTCCAATTATATGCAACGTTAAACTGGGTCATCCCTCATGGTCAACACGCAGTTGAGCATACTCTCACCTCCACCTTTGTTAGTATGTACATGTTCTAGTCAGCCACTCAAATCAGGTAGCTGAATAAAACATTCCCAGATGAGTTCATGGACTGTGTGGCAATGAGCACATTACCTACAAATATAATGCTCATTAATATACCTAAATGCTAAAATAGCGGCCCAGTGAAAGTAAACTCGTGAGTCGATAACTAGGTGTTTTTTAGCGTAAAAACGGCATTACTATTTCATACCAGCGCCCTTTTTGGTCAATTTTAGCTACATAAGGCTATTTTAGGATTTGTATTATTCATTTAATAAATACGTATCCTGAGGCTATGAAAATAGTATGTATCAAAATACTGCAAATCCACCTAATCTAGCCTGTCCTAACTGACACTGTTGCAGGTAAATTGATGATAAACCCACCCAATATTCGTGTGTAGTCGTGCACGTATGAAACGGCCTGTAACCTGAGATAATTACCTGACTCCTGCCCCGAGGTGATGATCTCGCAGGTGCAAATGTCACCGGAGTTGGGGGTGGTCTCAACATATTGCTGTTATTGTACTTTATTGCTACGGGGTAGCATCATATTTGCTTGGAAACATGATGGAATAGTTAAAAGCTGTGAGTATTGGAAGGTTGGGATTTTCTAATGAAGACGTATTTCTTTTTACAGATAATTTCTTCACTCGCCATCTGACTCAGCTGATGACGTATCTGAATCTGTACTGTCACCCAAAGGAAGGATAACAATAGTGCAACTATATAGTCTGACATCTACGCCGTCACGTTAACGGTACTGACGTTCTGTTACAAGATCTTCAGGCTTTAGCCACACCTCGGGTGTTATTGAAGTAAAGGCTGGGTTGATCAACCATTGTGTGAGTTTGAATGTTGTGTTATGTCTTGCCACGAACCTTTTACAGTCAGCGCAGATACGCTCAATAGGGTTGCGCTCACAATGTCTGACTGGCGTACGTAAGACAACGTGACCGTGTTGTGTCACCAGGACATCCGTCTTGTACTTTACTGGTTTCTTATTCACGAGAATTGTCTCCATGAGTTGAACTTTCGTTTCAGATGGTTTGAAGTGGATATTTCAAGATGTCCGATATTCGTGCATGGTCGCCTACAGACAACTCATGGATGGCGCGACAGTATCTGGTTCCCGGACGTTGTGATAACTGGCGTTATCCATGACAATGACACGGGGGTGGTTTAGACTGGGTTGTCGTTGGTGTTCCAACCAGTCTGTGAACACATCACCATTCATTTCTTTATGATAATCACCATTTCCGTTTTCGTACCTGATGGTACCATGGGTGCATGTCGTTCATCTGACGGTAGCCACATGTAGTCAGTGGGATGATTGCAAAATTACATGGGATCCTAACTGTAAATTATTACTCTGAACATGTATATGATATTCGGCAACAATCATAAGCGGGAGACACGACCTGCCCTAGACTGGTTTAAATGCCCAATCAGTTCATTCCTGGGAAGTCCGACCACCTCCGTGGTCTAGTGGTAGAGCATCCGCCCGGAGAGCGGAAGGTCCGGGGTTCGATCCCCGGCCGCGTCATACAAAAAGACGTTAAAAGATTGTACTTGTTGTTACCCTGTCTGGGGGTCGGCATTAAGGGGCTAAAACAAGGACTGGTCGGCTCGGGGTCAGTATACTGTGTCTGAGTGGGGTATTCATGTTAAACTGCGGCATGGTATCTCAGTGAGCTAGCACTATAAATCGGCATCAGTCCGGACTAGTACAAGCAGCCACACACACACACACACACACACACATACACGTGAATGCACGTCGCTATATAAGTGCAATAATCTTGGACACGACGTTAAACCCAATTTCACCTCACCCACCACCTGGGAAGTCCGCCATCTGAGGGGTGTACAAACAAACATCGCTGGACTGGTGGCAGATGTGTGATGGGTCAGTGATCTTAAACAATAGGGGATCAATGTTTTCACAAACACTAGGTTTCATTAAAAAAAGAAGTGGTGAAGAAACGGAAAGATGTAGTTGTAAAATATACTGAACCGAAAAAGGGACGTCACTTCATGAAAACAATTCATGAAAGTATCCCATTGAAATGACAATGCTGTTTCTGAAGGCATCTCATTTTTTACATTAGTTTGTGTCCAAATATATGTAAACGGCCCAAAAGTGTAAAATGTATCCAAATTTAATGTTAACGGCCAAATATGGATATAATGGGTCGCCAAATCGCAGCTTAACAAACATGGTACAAACTCCCGAATGTTTTTCAAAGAAAATCAAAATTCACTCAAGTTTCCTTGTGCATTTTCTGATAAACGGCACCCCTAATACATGGAACCACGGACTTGTATAACCGTGATGGAACTAACATTCTTGTATCGATACTAGCGCCATGTCAAGGCTTACGAAGAATCATAGAAACAAGCCTTTTTGAAGACTGTATGCTGGCCAGACTGCACCAAATTGCTAATGTTTTTAATGGCTGCGCTTGTGTAATGCAACATGCGTCATGGGAGCAATGTTGACAAACAAATGCAGTGTCATTTTGTTATTTTCTAAGATTCACATTTAGAATGTTCTCATATTGACTTGTTCTTTGCGGATAGGATGTTGAGTGAAGACTTCAGTATTATTAGTATAACGGAGTCACTTATTTCTACCGTTCGTATCAGACTCCCCTCACTGGACTAAGACTACATCTAAGCTTATTGTTTTCGTTGGGATTTTCTCCTGTCAGATTGTCGATAGGACCCCCTGCGACTGAAATACTGGAAACCACATGTGTGTAGATCGGAAGTTACTTGGTATTTCAAAAGCATCGGTGTGTGAAACATTCAGTCTTATTTTAACGGACAAGAAGAATTTTTCTTAGCATTTCCGACAGAACTTTAGTTGACTGCGTGGACAAATTTATTGTCAAGGTTGGCGGAATATTACCTATTTGGGTAGTTAGTATAAGAATGTTACATTGATTTGAAAAGATTTAAACAGCAGAGATATTGATGAAAACTTTTCTCGGTGAAGACATTTAGGACGTTTTGTTAGTCCATGTATTCCCTCATAGAATTTAAACTGCCTTGTTTTGGCCGAGAACAGCTGCAAACGTTATCATGTGGCTTTAAACAATAGGCATATTTGCTCTCTTGTTGAATAATAGAGACCAATACATTTCCACATCTCTTCTAAAAGCAGTGCCCATTGTACGATTTCGACTCTATTAAAAGCGATCACTATGAAACAATGATGACACCAGGTGTTCACGCAAAGATGAGGGCATCCTGCCACATCGGTGGCTCCAGTCACAAACACATGCAAAGGCAAATCAAAGGTTCACCTGAAACAGATTGCATCAGACATAATGTTTGTCACTGATGCGTCAATTCTGAAATGTCCTCTGCCATACCTTTTGTGCCTGCTTTGCCGAGGCCTTGACCATTGTAACCTTGACCATTGTAACCTTGACCATTGTAACCTTGACCATTGTAACCTTGACCATTGTAACCTTGACCATTGTAACCTTGACCATTGTAACCTTGACCATTGTAACCTTGACCATTGTAACCTTGACCATTGTAACCTTGACCATTGTAACCTTGACCATTGTAACCTTGACCATTGTAACCTTGACCATTGTAACCTTGACCATTGTAACCTTGACCATTGTAACCTTGACCATTGTAACCTTGACCATTGTAACCTTGACCATTGTAACCTTGACCATTGTAACCTTGACCATTGTAACCTTGACCATTGTAACCTTGACCATTGTAACCTTGACCATTGTAACCTTGACCATTGTAACCTTGACCATTGTAACCTTGACCATTGTAACCTTGACCATTGTAACCTTGACCATTGTAACCTTGACCATTGTAACCTTGACCATTGTAACCTTGACCATTGTAACCTTGACCATTGTAACCTTGACCATTGTAACCTTGACCATTGTAACCTTGACCATTGTAACCTTGACCAAACAACCTTTAAGCAAGTGTTGTATGAGTGAGTGAGTGAGTTTGGTTTTACGCCGCCTTTAGCAATATTCCAGCAATATCACCCCGTAGGGACACCAGAAATGGGCTTCACACATTGTACCCATGTCGGGATTCGAACCCGGGTCTTCGGCGTGACGAGCTAACGCTTTAACCACTAGGCTACCCGACCGCCCAGTGTTGTATGAAGCTCTTTGTAGATGCTCGATAGTACCTCCAAGTTGTGAAATGAATTTCACAAATATTTTATCAGTCCAGTTTTCACATATTGTTTTTTCAGAAAACTGCAGATGACATTTGCTTTCATTTTAGACAGTAGGTCCTGACCCTCTGAAGATAGTGGTGTAACTATGTTTCCACGTTCAGTAACTAATGCCCCGTGGATCAAGGAATGTATTTCCCCAAGACTGTCGCGTAAGATAGGGAGGTGTATCAAATCTGACACAATATAACTTGGTTCTTTTAAAAATTCAAGCAAATACTTTGAGTTGTTGAGAATCCACAAGGTATTAATTCCACTTGTCTCAAATACTATATGTGAATTTAAGAAAAGAAGTCCTTCATGATCTTTGGATTCCAATACAAACGAGGAATGGACTTGTCTCAGGTGTCAAAAGTTGATAGAACCGTTGTTTGAGTTCTTCCTCAGTTAACACACAGGCCCCACACTATCATGTGGCATTGTCTGATATGCCACTTCTACCACCAAGTTCTTTCGTGCGTCATTACTACCAATTTGACATTATTCTTTTTCCATCAAAACCCGGACATTGAGGCAATTCACGTGAGTCATTTAACACCATTCCCTTAGCTGCAAGGAAGCACGTCAAAAGAAAACATGATTTAATGTGTGAATCATGTCTTAAGACGTACATGTCTAAATATGGCATGTCGTTACATATGAAAAAAATCACTGTAGTCAGTAATCGCAGTAAAAAATGGCTTCCATCATTCCTAAAAGGATTAATATCCTCCAAATGACCTCATTTATGGCTTATTGGCCATCTTTCAGAAACAGGTGAGGTAAGGTGAGGTGAAAAGGGGTTTAACGTCGCGTCCAAGATTATTGCACTTTTATTGCGACGTGCATGCACGTGTGTGTGTGTGTCTGCTTGTACTGATGCCGATTTTAGAGTGCCAGCTCACTGAGATACCATGCCGTAGTTTAACATGAATAACCCACTCAGACACAGTATACCGACTCCGAGCCGACCAGTCCTTGTTTTAGCCCGTATGCCTTGCGCCAGGCAGGGTAACACCAAGAACCATATTTTAAGTTATTTTCTGCATAACGCCGCCGGGCATCGAACCCCGACCTTCCCATCTCCATTCTCAAGGGACCAGACTCTCGTTACATTTGATATGGCCAAATAATCAACGACATCGCATCACAGAACAAGACAGCCGATGGCGAAGCAAAAATGTCAAAGACAGTGAATACTTTTGCACCTGTGAAGATCCGGGTTAGAACAGGTCTTTAGCATCCCGAGCGCTAGACAGGGTAACAGCAAGTACCGTCTTTTGGTATGACGTGGCCGGGGATCGAGCCCCGGCCCTTCCGCTCTCCGTGCGGACGCCCTACCACTTGACCACGGAGGCAGACGAATAACACTAAACACCGACACTAAAGTGTGACGGTACGAAATAGTAATGCCGTTTTTATGCTGAAAAACACCTTGTTTTCGACTCGTCTCTACTGCGCAAGATGACACCAAAAGTAAAGTAAACAGTTTTGAACTTGTTATTGAGTGTCGTGTATAATAAATTCTACAAAAGAAACCCTCAAAAGTGATTTTCTATACATTTTATATATCATATAAATAATCAACAGATGGTCGTCGATTGTCCAAAATTGACCCAGGTTCCATAAGGGCACACATGGAACAGTAGATGTTCAAGATAAAGGTCATCTGTTCAAGTCCCAAACTGGCTGGCATCGTCGTCCCGTGGAAGCAATCAGATCCTGAATTGTTGCCTGGGGAATGTTCACCCACTCTGCCTGCAGTGCTTGTGCCAACTATCGGAAGTTCCGTGGTTGCGCGAGATCGCAGTCGCTGATCCAGTGCATCCTATAAATGTTCAACTGGGTTTCAATCTGGAGACCTGGAAGGCCATGGCAGGACCTGGATGTTGTGATTCCTGAAGAACGATGCTGTCAGTCCTGCCGTGTGAGGTCGGGTGTTGTCTTGTTGGAAAATGACGTTCGCTTGTTGCATAATGAGAAGGACGTGTGGCCGAAGAATCTTATCCGTGTAACGTTGTGTCGTTAAATTCCCCTGAACTTGCACCAAGTCTGTTCTACCAGTGTAGGAGATGGCTGTCCACATCATCACACTACCACCACCAAATATGTCCACTTCCTGTATGCAGTTTCGTGCATAATGTTGCCCGCGACGCGTGTAAAAACGACGTCTACCATCCGCACGGCGAAGCACAAAACGTGACTCGTCACTAAACCAACTCCATCGCAGTTGTGTGCCATCCTCTTTCATCTTCCCCTATTGACGTCGCAGCCGATGATGCAGTTCCGTTAAAATGAAACCTCGAACTGGTCGTCCAGCGCGAATACCTTCAGCGAGTAAACAGTTCCTCATTCCCTGGGCTGATATCCTATGCAATACTGGTATTGCCGTAGTTGTAGAGGTGGCCGTGGTGGTTCTTTCACGTAAGTGATGTAGCCGTATGACTCTGTCCTGTGCTCTAGCAGTGATACGTGGTCGACCGGATCTGGGAAGGTCCCGTGTGTCTGATAACGGTTCCACGGGGTCTTGTAATGGTGCTTGTGCTTCGTGTAAATTCCTGGTTTAAGCTGAAGATGATTCTCCTGTTTGCAGTCGGCCGAGGACGTTGTGAGTGGGTGAGTGGGTGAGTGGGTGAGTGAGTGAGTGAGTTGGGTTTAACGCCGCTTTTAACAGTATTCCAGACATATCACGGCGTGTCAGCTTAATGTGGGAGGAAAGCTCGAAGTGATGCAGGTCTCAGACGTTTACCACTTCGGTGAAACCCACGAGCACGGGTATGGTGCTGACAAACCTAGAAACATAATTGGGGCGAACCGGGATTCGAGCCCACAATCATAGGCCAGTTCGAAGTTAGAATTAGTTCAAAATAGTAACTAAAAGAGCTAAAATCCTGCCTTATTCATGCTCCATGGTCTCTGGTGAAATCTCAATTGTAACTGTCCAGCGAGAAAATGGCAGTTGCTACCTACCGGGTTGGCATAGACAGCGTTAACCCCTCCTTCCTTCGCCTCACAACGTTGTAGGTCGTCGTCAACATATACCGTGCTAGAAACTCACAGAAAAAACACGTGCAACTTGTGCCGCGACGGGTGTGTATGGATGAGCTGTCCCAGACGAACCCACAACAATCTTTTCAATGTCTTTTATTTGTGTCTATTTTCAGTTAATCAGTTATCACAACGGGGCATCTATAAATTTAAATATCCTTCTCTGAATACCCTGGACGGATGGAGAATGCACTTTCCCAACTCTGAGTATACTTGGATTGTAAAAGACGTCCTAACATAAATGTTTCGTTCAATATGGCCGCCACAGCAGGTTGGTTCACGTATACTACTCGAAGTGTGTGTGCGTGCGTGCGTGCGTGCGTGCGTGCGTGCGTGCGTGCGCATTCAACTGATGCAATCCCCAGTAGCAAATGGTGCCCAATGGCAGGATATGTCAGTCTTTTTTTGTTTGGTGATTTGTTGAATATCATCAAAACTTGATCCGCAGCAAATGCACAACTGTAGCTTGTAATTGCAGTTACCTGCCTAGAAGTAATGGTGATATGAAAATCTCAACACCTTGCATACATTGTTCAGGGCATAAGCTGTTGTCTTTGTGTTGATTTCACTGCTTACTTTATATAATGCTGTCCTCCACATCATATTGAACATTCATTAAATTGTTCTTAATACTGGTAGACGCTACACATTTCTTACTTAATTGTTAAAAATACATTCCAGGTGAACTGCCGGACTGTGGGGCTATCGTTCTATAAATAGCATGACAAAGCACCTCAGGACATTTCGCAGTTTAAATGGTCTCCTCCTGGCCCCCAACTTTTGTCATGTGAACTGTACGCCCTAAATTATCTTTGTTCCACTACAGAAACGGTTTATCGTTTAACCTGCAATCGGCAATATTCCAGCTATAACAGCGACTTGGGAATGATCAAATCTGGACTAGACAATCCGTGATCGATAGTGTGATCAATGGCCCACGATGAGACGCAATGTACCAAGCGCCTGAGTCTGGCCAACTGTTCACTGTGTCGCCTCTAGCGACCAGCAAAGTTTGTTGGGGACCTATTCTCAGCCCGAATCCCCATGGGGTTTACAGCTGTAGATTCTGAATAACGCAGCTCAACAATACTCCTGTTATGTCACATCAACCTGCAAAAACTCCAGTCTAGACAACAATAGGACAAGGATCCATGCAATCTGGCACAATAACTCCACTTATATACATGGGTAAGCAGCAACATGCTTTTGATATATATATATATATATATATATATATATATATATATATATATATATACTACACAAACGTTACAGAACACCCAAAGTAATTGACAGATGAACAACAGTCATATGAAGACATAGGGTTTCTCTAACGTCTTTTGAGTAGTATAAATCATGAGGTTACCAGTTGACCTGAGAGTAGTCTCCCTTTACGTAAATATGGGCAAGCTCCTTCCCAGCGCGTGACACCTCGCTGCGAGGAGCTTGAAATGTGGGCAACTGTGTCCAGAAGTTTCGTCAGTCCCTTCATGAAACAATATTAAATCCTGGAGTGGTTTTATGCTTGTAAATACATAAGTACTAGATTCGCAGTCCTTTCAATAATTGAAATGAACGTACTTCCTCGAGTGTTATTTTTTTCAGCTTGAAATCACGAATTGATTGCAGATATGTTGAAATCATTTCATATCAAACTCCAATCACATTAAAGCTGATGATGGTCAAGGTTAAAAAAAAGTTCAACTGTACTCAGTATGATTACGTAAGGATGTACTTTATAGGAACTATTTTCATTAAGGTTAGAATCACAGTTCAGATTGGAGTCGATTTTATACAGTGTAAAATATTGAGTTAATCAATCTGGATCAGTTACATTAAACTGAACAGGTAATCCCTTCTGTCATTTATTGAAACGATAAATACGGAATAGGAATTTTTACAAACCTTACCCTGAGAAATTAGAAAACAATTGCCATCAACCAGGACATGACAGTACATGCAGTGACCAAAGGGAGACAACTGAGGCAATGAACTTCCCTCTGGCAAAATTTCACTTCACACAAATACAGAAAGTACGGAATCTCCAGTAAGTAATTTAAATTTGAGTTTTTTAATTCAACAAAAAACCCAACAAAAAACAACTGATTATTGATTTTTCCTCAGCCAACTGTACTTTAAGTCAAGTTCTAAAATGATTTTCCCAGGCTATTTGTATAGAAAAGATTTTCTTAGCTTTCCTAATATTCCTTTTTTTTAGGTCATTGAAAATACAGGCTTGAAGTTGATGTCAGGATTTGAAATTAAGGCAGGTCTCCTCTTAAACATACCATTCTACAAGATCATATACTCTACCAGGACATTGTATTTGGTTCTTCAGAGTCTAATTACAATCAACAAAGATAATTTGACATTCTGCAGTACAGCAGAACACTTCATTCTGATTAGCCATAGTAAAGGTGGTGCATATTTCATACATATTTATGAAAGATTACCCAGGGAAACATTAATGTTATCTTATCAGCACATGTGAAAGTTAAAAATCACAAGAATGCCTTTGGCAACAGACAGAGGCCTGTAAATACAGAGGTCATAAATATTCATGTTTCAGTTTTTCTTTGTTTTTTCCCATTTTACAAAATGTGGAACAGTACCAAAACGTTAAGAACAGTAATTTGTCCTGTAACTAATTCTGTAACATAAAAAATACCAGTGGATCAATATATGGAGGGAAGTAACTCTTTAACTCCAAGATCCACAGAAGCAGCTTGTTTCTTTCAATACATTTTTTTATAAATAGGACGTTATCATTAGACACACTGTCTTTACTGTCCATGAGATTTCCCAGTGTGAATAGGTCGTCAGTAACTCCTGCTTGTGGATATAGCTGACAAAAATGGGGATCAGGAGGTCAGGCTGTGAGTCTTCAAATTGCATGTGTTTACTCTGTTGCTCATGATTTCAATCACTGGTTTGTGAGGTCCAGTGAACTGTTTATTACATGCCATTGTGATATGAACAGAATATTGCTGTGTAGACAACAATAACACACTCACTGACCAACGCAAATTTCTGAAAATTGCCCCAAAGCTGAAGTTCACTGGAGCAACTGCATCTGACAGTACCAAAGGGGTAGGATGCTGAATTTTTTCAGAGGGACAGTACTTGTGAAAACTGAGAGAGAGAGAGAGAGAGAGAGAAAGAGAGAGAGAGAGAGAGAGAGAGAGAGACCATGCTGCAGTTTAACATGGATATAGTATACAACTTGGAAGACTGGTCTTTGTTTTTTATTCTCACCTTTTAACGTCTTTTCGAATGAAAGAAAAGAAACCTTCTGCTGTGTCAGAAAGGCAATTCCTTTCTAGAGTGATATTATTAACACAGTTGTTCTTGGACATATTCATATTTTGCAACACAATTTAAATTTGATTTTTCTAGAATCCAGTGTATATTCATTGTATATTTTTTCAAACACAATAATGCTCTCCAGTTAATGATAGAATGACCCAGATGGGGATTGAACCACTGACCTTACACTTTCGGGGCAGACACTATCGACAAGACCACAGAGGCGGTCCAAGCTGGCTTGAAAGTATGCTTGTTGTATGTGACTAACAGGATCAGGGGGTCACTTGGTTGATGCATGTCATCGTATCTCAATTGCATAGATTGATGTTCATGTCTATCACTGGATTGTCTGATTATTTACAGACCGCCATCATATAGCTGGAATATTGCTGAATGTGGCGTTAAACAACAAACAAACCAATCCTGAAAGTATTCTACCCACTAATCACTTGTCTGTACTCATTACATCCTAAATATCTGTGTATTCAAAGTTCAATCCATTTTGGTTGATAAATAAGCTCGTATGAAAGTCCTCTCCCTTTTTACTGATAACATTATCCTGCTGATACAGCCCTCATTGATAGTTGTTACTTTTCTGAGCGCAGTGATTTAGTGAGATTATGCCCCCATTCCCCGTCCTTGTAGCCAACAAATGAATATTGGGTGGTCACAATGCTGGACCAGGTTGATTGTGAGTTACCCTGCAGAGGGGATTGTTGTCCATGCAAAACGACTGGCTTGCCTGGTATAGACTTGATTCCTGAGTATTGGAAATATTGGAAAGAGCTGAGAGTGCTGTAAAATCTAATACACTCAGTGCTCAGAATTCACCTAGCTTTAGAATTTTTGATAAAAAAACTATCAAGTCAGAAGGTAATTTGATCAAACTATTATATACAATTTAATATCTAGATCTCTACAATCTCCACTACATGATGACTGTAATGTATATGATCTATCCTTGACTACTGGTAGAAGTTGTCTGAATTAGGTAACTAGAACATAGGGGAAGATTACAAAAAGTGAAAAATATAATGTTGCTAAATTAAAAAAAACTTGAGCCTAAGGTTGGGGATTGTCCTTGATTTCTTGTCGAACACAAAACAAGTTAGGTTGTCAGCATGGAGAATAACCTTAAGAGGACATCTTTTTCACATGACCAAGCCCTAGGGGTCCTTTTATAAAAGTAATGAAATAACCGCCCCTCGAGTAGGCCATGTTCTAATTAAGCTGAATATTAAGTTTAACTGAACTTATCACAAAATTACAGACAAGATATGTGACAGTCATGAAGCCCCTATCCCCAAAGGGTTTCATGTCATGACGGATAATTACAAAAATATAAAGAATTTAGATTAGCTGGAGATGTGACATCTATTCAGGATCAATGTAAAATCCAAGGTCTATGCTGAACATAAACTGGTTAGTCTTTATGTTAATTGTTCCACATCGCAATATTTTATCCATTCAGCCTCAAAATAAATAAGTGCCAAACAAGTGATTGGTATCGTGCAAACCCAAGTTGTTGGGCAACAAGCAACAAAGTAAGTCACCTCGACCCAGCCCAGTGCTGGAGTGCGACACCAACCCGTCCCCACAAGGTTGCTTATTCTTCACCTGGATGACATCTGGACATATGGGCTTTATGATGTCGATACTTCATGTATTCATACATTCGACTCACGACACATTAACTATAGCAATACTTCATTTGCATTGTTTTTGTATGATGTTCCAAGCTTACAAGAAGTGGTTCTTGTCAACCAGTTTGTGTTTATTCTGCACAACTAGTTAACCTGGACTCATTCTAAAAGTGAGTGAGTGAGTGAGTGAGTATGCTTTTATGCCGCTTTTAGCAATATTCCAGCAATATCACGGCGGGGGACACCAGAAATGGGCTTCACACATTGTACCCATGTCGGGAATCGAAAGGGGGTCTTCGGCGTGACGAGCGAACGCTTAAACCACTAGGCTACCCGACCGCCCCCATTCTAAAAGGATTATGCAATCAGATGTAGCATTTTATTTTGAGACAGGCAGTAAGAAAAGCAATGCTAGCCAGAGTTATTGCCATGCTGGGTTACTAGTCAAAAGAAGTAAAAGAACACCCTAATTATTTTATTTCACTTTAGTTAATCTGTCATATCATGACACATTAACTTTGGTAATATGAAATAATTGGGTGTTCATAACATCTTTTGAGTAGTATACTACTTTTTGAAAATCAATATAGAATTAGAATTTGGAAGTGATAAATGAGCAACAGTATTGTGCATCATATTACGTGTAAAGTCACAATACAGCGGTCATCATGAGTGAGTGAGTGAGTGAGTATGGTTTTACGCCGCTTTTAGCAATATTCCAGCAATATCACGGCGGGGGACACCAGAAATGGGCTTCACACATTGTACCCATGTGGGGAATCGAACCTGGGTCTTCGGCGCGACGAGCAAACGCTTTAACCACTAGGCTACCCGACCGCCCCTCGCGGTCATCATGACACCCCTTGGATATAGAACAAACAATACACCTGTACAAGTCAACTTAACTTTATTGTTCATACACCTGCAAGTCTCACATATAATACAAGAAATATTAACATTTTTTGAACGATTCACGCCATAATTAAACATAATTCATAGCACTTGATGGAAAAGAATAACACAACTATATTCCCTGTAACAGAAGTCCTTTAGTTATTCCTGTTAATGATGAACAGTTTTTCCAAGATTCACTGTTTAGGGCATCAAGCACCATTATGTGTATGGTGGCAGAAATAAATTCAGCACTGGTTCATGTCAACATGCTGGTAAGTTCAAACATCATCTGGGAAGAAAGTATTTGATATTACACTGAAAACCATTCCCAATCTGAAGTGTTACAAGCCAAAAATAATCTTTGTAACATCTTGTTACCTGAGAAACCGAAGTATTTTATCCTCTTCCGTTTGGATTATTCACAATGGCAAAGGTTTTATCTATTTGGCTGCCTTACGTTGGGGTGTCTTAAAAGAAATTCAGAGAAACAAGATACCTTCCCATTTTCTTCAGTGGGAGTTCAGTATAGAATTCAAAAAGTACATACACGGTTCTTATGGTAGAAAATATCTTTACAATTAGCGTAAATGTGAAATACCTCCCATTTATGCATCAACTGTAAATCTTAAAGGATTCTATTGGAATAATGCCAGTTAGAACCACATGTTTCTCATACAATTCCAAGAGCTGTCAAATCAGGCTTATCATGCACATTTTCTTAAGAGCTTATGAACTGTACTGGTTAAACTACAAGAAATGTTTCCTGTAGACTGCATTTTTTATAATCTGAGAAAAAAAATAGCATTTAAGCTTCTGAGTTTTCAAAATCAGATTGTCAGATGTAAGACAGTTAACTGTATGCAGAAAGTGAATGTGGTATTTTCACCCCAAAATTGTTTTTAGATGTGATGCAGATAAGCAATCATAGATACACTAAAAAACAACTTCAAAATCATTTTCAAAATGCTAAAAGAAACCGCCTGCTGCATCAGAAAGGCAAATCCTGTTTCCAGAGTAATATTATTTACACAGTTGTTCTTCTTGGACAAAAATTTATATTTTGCAACCTCAATCTAAATTTGATTTTTCTTGATTCCAGTGTTTATTCAAAGTATATTTTTTCAAACAAAGTAAACAATAATGCTCTCCAGTAAATGATGGAACATTCTTTTAGATACATTGAATACAGGCAACATCTATAAGGATGGTATAAACAATGAGAAATGCCACTGTGTTGAAGTGAGAAGAAGTGTCTCATGTTTAGACTAAATAGACACGTCCATGAATTCCAGGCAACATATACGAACTAAACCAGACCTAGATGGCTGCTTCACAAAACAGTCACAATGTTACATTCAAGTCAAGATAGTATTTACAGACAAAGCATTCTTCCAAACTGGATCATTAATAAAGACTCATCCGGCTTGGGAAATACATTTTTCTAATAATGTGTCTCTCAACTTAAGAGTCATTCATGGTCCTTATATATATAGTTTGGGTAGCAGATAGTGTGGAATTCTGGAGGCCCAACTGAATAATGATCAAAAGGTTTTAGATACTATGGATTGTGAGAACATAATGTTATGACAGCTTTGTGAGCAAGTAGCCATATGATGCTGATGTAGACAACTTCATGCTTTGTGGCAGTGTTAAACACTTGCAACTAGTCACCAAAAACATGCAAAGGTTGAACACCTTTGGACAATTTATACACCTGCTTCATAAGAGAATATACACATTTTCTTCCCATGGCTCCTATGCCTTCAAGGAAATCCATCAAAGTCTTCATCAGCTATCTCCTTAGCACTCTCCAGCTCCTGCTGTTCCCGCTCTCTACGATCCTGCAAAAAAACCAACAGCAATTGATCTTAGGATTTCAACCAAGATGTAGAGACTGAACCCATCCATAGCTCCTTCAATTTGCTTTTTTGGGCAAAAATACCTTTTTGAGTGGGAAAATCAAAATAACAATTCACCATGGTTACAAGCATTCTTTGAGCTTTGACTCTGACACAATCTCAATATAATGAGAAGGAAGTTCATCTGATGTGACACCTATGGGTGGGTGGGTGGGGTGGTAGAGTCCTCAGATCTCTACAGAGAGTGGCATGTTATCAGAGTATAATATTTGATTTGAATGTGGTTTGAATGATCTCTTATCCGGAGGTCTTGCTTATGTGGTTGATGGGTCTTAGGGTCTTTGATGTTTGTTGCTCTATTTGAATCAAGGGAACCCATTAATATCTCATTTTTCACAGGAGGGATATGACAACCCTTTCACTTTCATCCTCAAGTTCAAACACTCTTTTTTGAAACACTATCCTATGTCAAGTCTGATGGTGAAAAAATTGCATTACATTAACTGATTTCTTTCTTGAACATACATACAATATGCAAATATTCAAAACAGTCTTACAGAGAAAAAAGATATTTGCTGAAACAATACATGATGGAATACATTTTTATCTGTATCAAATAATATTTTTTCTAGTATTAGCATTTATTAAATAAATGAAGAATAGGAAACATTTGCCCTTTTGACAGTCTAGTGAGTGAGTATGGTTTTATACTGCTTTTAGCATTATTCCAGCAATATCATGGTAGGGGACACCAGAAATGGGCTTCACACATTGTACCCATGTCAGGGATCGAACCTGGGTCTTCTGCGTGACAAGCAAACGCTTTTAACCACTAGGCTACCCCTCATTAAATAATGAAGGTCAATTAAGGGAGAATGATCCATGGTTTAAGTGTTATTGCCAGTCTAGAACAAGGCATACATGTATCAGCAAATACCGTGTGTGTGATACCAAGACATTGTCTCTATAATTTGGGCAATCATTACAGTTACTGCCAGAAGATATACCTTGTGAAGACTACTGCTAATTAGGAGACAAAATGAGGGTGATAGATTTCATCCAAACTTTTTGGGAGTGCCCACCGGTCATCTTTAAGTGTCCAAAATACATCGTCAATATCAATACCAAAACCATAGTATATTTGGCTTTGGGACAAAATGAAAATACTTGAAGCTTAGCATTAGGATTTTGTCCGTGCAAAGGTTCAACAAATATTATAATTTTAGAAACTTCCATTCTATGAAAGACAATCATAGCATGACTGAGTTCAGCTCCACAGCTGTGATTTCAGCAAAGAACTTGAAAATGTGAAACAATTGCTTCTATGATATTATTGATTAACATGGTCCCTTGGTTTTAATTAGTTACTAGGTCTAATCTAAACAGCCTGATGTAAATACCTCAGCAATTCTATAGACTCTAATTCAGGTTTTCTGACAATCTTAGTCCCTGAGAAAGGCAGTCTATCATCCGCCAGGCCTATGTATTTGGGCCCGGCGGCTAGCAAGAGGTGTCCGGGGCAGGGACGGGAGAAGGAGGCGGGATGTGGGCACAGGCTTCTTACACTAGCAGGGCAGCACACACCATGTAGCCCGATACAAACAGTTGAGTGTACTCACACCATTTGCTTTGGTCATAGCCTATTTGGCTTAGCTGACTACAAGGTATCTCAATCAACTTGGAGTTTGAAAAGTAAATTTGTTATTAGTCTTTCTGATTTTTTTGGCTTCAAAACAAGAGCTCTTGGTATAAAAACTACCACCTGTGTCTATGTGGGAAAATGGATAACTGGGGTTTAACAAGAAAAACAAATCTTTATCAGTGTTCAAAATATAGGGGGGGGGGCCTTAATCCCTTGACATTCCAGCTTCATTTGAACACCGATCTGCTATTCTTGTATGCAATTGCATAGTAGGGCATAGTATGGTTGAAGATAGAAAAAAGCTAGCTTTAATGAAAACAAATGTATTCAGTCTTTTTATCTTTTGCAACAACATGACTCGATCATATGTGATACCTGTGCCACACAACATGGCCCATCATATGTGATACCTGTGCCACACAACACGGCCCATCATATGTGATACCTGTGCCACACAACACGGCCCATCATATGTGATACCTGTGCCACACAACACGGCCCATCATATGTGATATATAGCCAGGGGTGTGTGTGTGTGTGTGTGTGTGTGTGTGTGTGTGTGTGTGCTTGAGGTTTCCTCCTATAGTATTTGAATTGAGGTACTCCATAAACCTGTAACTTTACGTTTATGAAAAGGACCCCTTAAAATTTAGTTTTAAATATTCATCGGGAAATTTAAACAATTTTATAGCTATCTTTATCATATTTTTTATTATAATGACTTTTGACCAGCCAGTTGATCCACATTAAAACAAAGAAGAAAAGTGTCACCTCAATTTGAACATTTTCTTTCAAAATATTTGGCTCTACAGGATTATTTTTAGTGAACGCACTCTGACATCTGAAGGCTACAGTGAGTGTCAACGAATGACAATGACATCAAGTGTTATTCAAATGAAAGGAATACAGCCTCATTATCATAAAAACACATTTGAAACCTAATCTTTCTCATAGCACAACTACCAATGTAATGAAGACAAATTGTCTCTCTGGAAATGATTGTCTACAACATCGAGGGGAGATGAGCTTTCCTGAAATGGTACCACATTCCTTCCGCTACCAAAGAAAGGCAACCACGACACAATCAGTTTTCATTGCTAGGTTCAAGATCATAACACAGTGTACAAATGGTGTTATTGGTACCGAAGTACCTTCTTTATTTCTTCACAATAAAGCTGTGATATGGTGGAACATCTTAATCTGAATTGAAAATGATCTTGTAATTACCGTTTCTTCTTTAATATTTCATGAGTGAAATCGAATGGCACATTAATAACAGCTTGAGCAAAAATCATTCACATTTGATATGAAGTGGGTTGTTATCAGTTACAATATTGGAACAAGAATGTATTTCCCTTCAATAGAAATGACAAGACAGCTGATTGTTGATATGTAAATCAGGGCACAAGAATATTGGAGCATCAGGGCACATGATTACTGGAGCATCAGGGCACATGATTACTGGAGAATCAGGGCACATGCTTACTGAGCATCAGGGCACATGATCACTGGAAATTCAGAGCACTTGACTACTGGAGCATCAGGGCATGTGCTTACTGGAGCACGGGGGCACATGATTCTGGAGCATCAGGGCACATGATTCTGGAGCATCAGGGCACATGTTAACTGGAGCATCAGGGCACATGTTTACTGGAGCAACAGGGCACATGTTTACTGGAGAATCAGGGCACATGCTTACTGGAGCAACAGGGCACATGATCACTGGAGCATCAGGGCACATGTTTACTGGAGCATCAGGGCACATGTTTACTGGAGCATCAGGGCACATGTTTACTGGAGCAACAGGGCACATGTTTGCTGGAGCAACAGGGCACATGTTTGCTGGAGCAACAGGGCACATGTTTGCTGGAGCATCAGGGCACATGTTAACTGGAGCACCAGGGCACATGTTTAATGAAGCATCAGGGCACATGTTTACTGGAGCATCAGGGCACATGTTAACTGGAGCATCAGGGCACATGTTTACTGGAGCATCAGGGCACATGCTAACTGGAGCATCAGGGCACATGTTTACTGGAGCAACAGGGCACATGTTTGCTGGAGCAACAGGGCACATGTTAACTGGAGCATCAGGGCGCATGTTAACTGGAGCATCAGGGCACATGGTAACTGGAGCATCAGGGCACATGTTTACTGGAGCATCAGGGCACATGTTAACTGGAGCATCAGGGCACATGTTTACTGGAGCATCAGGGCACATGCTTACTGGAGCAACAGGGCACATGTTTGCTGGAGCAACAGGGCACATGTTAACTGGAGCATCAGGGCACATGTTTACTGGAGCATCAGGGCACATGCTTACTGGAGCAACAGGGCACATGTTTACTGGAGCATCAGGGCACATGCTTACTGGAGCATCAGGGCACATGTTTACTGGAGCAACAGGGTACATGCTTACTGAGCATCAGGGCAGCAGTAGAAATTGGCACTTGTCCTGTAGTCCATGCCAAAATGGCCAATAGTCAAGATATCATAAGGTCTAGTCGAAATTTGCCATTTTTTACGGGTTTTGCCATTTGTTATCATTATAAGGACTAGTGGACTAAAAATGTTAGTTTTAATCGCTGCAGGGCACATGATTACTAGAACATCAGGGCACGTTTCCCGGAGCGTCAGGGCACATGCTTACTGAAGCGTCAGGGCACATGCTTACCGAAGCGTCAGGGCACATGTTTACTGAAGCGTCAGGGGACATGCTTACCGAAGCGTCAGGGCACATGTTTAATGGAGCAACAGGGCACATGCCTTCTGAAGCATCAGGGCACAAGATTACTGGAGCATCAGGGCATGTGATTACTCGAGCACCAGGGCACATGTTTACTGAAGCATCAAGGCACATTATTCCAGGAGCAACAGGGCACATGATTACTGGAGCGTCAGGGCACATGATTACTGGAGCGTCAGGGCATGTGATTACTGGAGCACCAGGGCACATGTTTACTGGAGCATCAGGGCATGTGATTACTCGAGCACCACGGCACATGATTACTGGAGCATCAGGGCACATGATTACTGGAGCGTCAGGGTACATGATTACCGAACCGTCAGGGCACATTATTACTGGATTGTCAGGACACAGGATTACCGGAGCGTCAGGGCACATAATTACCGGAGCGTCAGGGCATATGAATACTGGGTCCTCAGGGCACATGATTACTGGATCGTCAGGGATATGATTACTGGAGCATAAGGGCACATAATTACTAGAGAATCGGGGCATATGAATACTGGATCGTCAGGGCACAAGATTACTGGATCCTCAGGGATATAATTACTGGAGCATCAGGGAACATGCTTACTGAAGCATCAGGGCATATGATTACTGGAGCATCAAGGCACATGATTACTGGAGCATTAGGGCACATTATTACAAGAGCATCAGGGCACATGTTTACTGGAGCACCAAGGCACATGTTTACTGAAGCATCAAGGCACATGATTACTGGAGCATCAGGGTACATGATTACTGGAGTATCAGGGCACATGTTTACTGGAGCACCAGGGCACATGTTTAATGAAGCATCAAGGCACATGATTACTGGAGTATCAGGGCACATGATAACTGGAGCATCATGATGTCAATCACTGGATTGTTTGGTCACTGGACAGATGTCATATAGCAGGAATAGTGCTGAGTGCAGCATAAAACAACCAACTGTGTTGACACCATGGTCCTGGCAAGGATATAAGACAAATCAGAAAACCTCAGTATCATGATAGTGCTCTGGTTTTCTACAAGGTTTGAGATGTATCAAAAAATGAAAATGAAGGGAAACTGATGATACTTCATTAACACTGCAACTGATGTTATTTTATTAATGTGTGTTAAACTTTCTTAAAGATTGAACTTAACTTTTAATATCAAGAACAGACTTCCACATAATGTCATGCATAATTGCTGATAAATATGTGAGACATCTGAGATGCCCAAGAACTGAAACACTGCAGCAGGATCTGCAGCAGACAGAGTGTGAGTAGAAAAGAATCATTGTCAACTCACCTCTGCAGATTCCAGATCTTTGTTGTACGACTTGGGTGGGAATCTCATCGCCTGCAAAAAAAATAAAATAATATGAATGACTTGCAAATTTTAGGAAAATGATAAACACGGATCTACAGTTTTCTGAAAAGTAGACCTTGGAGCAAATCAGGATCAAAGACAATGCAGAGTTTGTCATGGTCAGCCAAAACTAACCTCAGAGTAGGCCGAAATTGTCTCTCGGTATCAAGTGGCAAAGGCGCAGACAAACCGAAGACGATAATCACTGAGAATCTTGGATTCAAACCCATGAACAACAAGTCTTGCTAAGCCTAAGGATGTCTTGCAAATTGCAGTGTATTAGACGAATTTGCTCGTTTTAAATCAGTGAAACAAAGTAGGACTGAGTGATTGAGCTGAATGGGGATTAAATAAGCTTGCACAAGCTTTAAAACAATTATTTTACAGTAAATTTCAGTGTAAATTCATGAATGCAGTGTTCAAAATTATTCCAAGCACTACCCAATGTGGCAAATTAAAAACAAGGTAAAAAAACAACAACCAAGTTAAAAGCAGGTTAAATCTTGAAGTTTGTGCCCTTCCTGTTCATAAAGATTCATAACATCCAATATAATATCTGAATTTCCAGTTTGTTTTACTATACATTCAGGAACTAAGCATTTGTATATTTTCAACTGAAATGTTTGCAGTTAACTTATGATAGAGAATATTTGTCACTGGCTTTGAATAATATTCATCACCACAAGGCATTTTCTGGAAAAATTATGATTTTTAGGTGTGCCCTTTAGGCACCGGGAACTTACTTAAATTGTTCCTTTACAATTTGAACTCTGCCATTGGCATTCAAACACAGAGAATTTTTAATGCTGCACACAAAACAATGTGATAACTAGAAAGTGTTTTTACTCGTAAAAACATATGTCTCCCCCCACTCCCCTAACCCCCATTCATTCGTTTACTTCACGTTAAACCCCATCTCTTCATTCCCACCCTCCATTACTAAATAACAGAGACAAAAATAGAACTCCTAGAAATTTCAAACAACTAATGGGCACCACTTCAGCGTCTAATCAACACCACTAATCCCTCAATCATTTACCCACCTGACAGTGTAGTCATCTAAGTAGCACAGTTTTCTTGTTACTGAAGTATTTGTAGAAAATCCACTTAAAGTACTAATAGAGTTTGGACACAAATATATTAATATCCCCAACATATCAGAAATGATGTAGCAATGTTATATGGCACAAAGGAAAGTCTCTGTGATGTAACTGCCCGTGTATCTGACTCTGCAGGTCTTCTACACAATGACATATGTGATGTCATGGAAACTGTAATAGCAAAAGGCACCACTTCAGTGCTGGGTTAATGTGTATACAAAGTTTCGCGAAAAAATATTAAACAGTTTCTGAGTTATGGTCAGGAAACAAAGCTTACCCCCATTCAGAGCCTATGTTCAAGTTATCTCCATGGAAACGAGAAAAAATAAAAATGTCAAAAATCTCTAAATAGCAAAAGGCACCACTTCAGTGCTGGGTTAATGTGTATACAAAGTTTCGCGAAAAAATATTAAACGGTTTCTGAGTTATGGTCAGGAAACAAAGCTTACCCCCATTCAGAGCCTATGTTCAAGTTATCTCCATGGAAACGAGAAAAAATAAAAATGTCAAAAATCTCTAAATAGCAAAAGGCACCACTTCAGTGCTGGGTTAATGTGTAAACAAAGTTTCGCGAAAAAATATTAAACGGTTTCTGAGTTATGGTCCGGAAACTGTGGGAACGCCGACGCCAACGCCAATGCCGACGCCGACGCCGACGGGAACCGTGCCAAAAACAATATGTCTCCCTCCATTCTGGGGGAGACATAATTACACAATTTAGTCAAGGCATTGTGCGGCAAATTCTACTGCATGATCATTGCTAGCAACATAGCAAGTTTAACAGGTTTTGTTTTTTTTCATAATGTAGACACATGGTGACTATCAGTCAGGGACCCCTCCCTATAGTATGACATTGTGATCTCAAATCAATTGCTCAGTGTGGTAATTCAAAGAAAGTCCAATTTCAACACACAAAAAAACAATGTTTTTTTTTTACTGTTTTACAAAGTTCTTATACTTAATGATAAATGAATCTGTGTCTCATAGGCACATTGTATTGGTTGGAGGTGAGGTATAATTGGGTTTATTGTCGCGTTCAAGATACTTACATAGAGACGTGTGTGTGTGTGCGTGCGTGCGTGAGTGCGTGCATGCGTGCATACATGTGCGTGCGCACTCTTCTACTAGTCTGGACTAATGCTGATTTTATAGTGCTAGCCCACTGAGATACCATGCCATAGTTTAACATGAATACCCCACTCAGACACTGACTCAGTATACTGACTGAGCAAACCAGTCCTGGTTTTAGCCCCTTAAGGTTGAGCTCTAGACAGGGTAACAACAAGTACCATCTTTTAACTTCTTTTGGGGTTGAACCCCGAACGTTCTGCTCTCCGTGCGGACACTCTACCACAAGACCACGGAGGTGGTCAGCCTAATACAGCTAAAACTGACACTGAAGTGTGATGGTACGAAATAGTAATGCCATACCATGGAGGCAGTCTGTATTGGTTGGACATATATTTTAAAGAAAACAATGTATTATTTTGACTTTGAAAAAATATATAGTATATTCTAAACAAATACATCAAAGAAAAGACTTTTATTGATGACAATTTTCTAATTAATTAAGCAAGTAACTCAATGGGTCCTTAGATTGAAATACTCTAGCAGAAAGCCTGAAGGACCAAAGTATACCCTTATTTCATCATGATACTGACAAATATATATTCATAATTGTATAATGTTTTTTATTGAAAATGAAACTATCAGAAAACAGCTGTCTCACATTACCTTGATTAACACAAACATAGAATTTCAAATTAACATTGAAAACTATCACTCTATTAATTTCACCTGTTACCCTTTAGATCACAGATAAACTGCCTTTCATTCCTCGAGGCAACAAGATTTATGTTTTGGCAGGATCATGACGATAATTCACTTTTCCTAATTAATATTATGTTTCAACACAGAAGTGTTACATACATTAATGGGTTTCAATTGAACAACCTTCCTGGGTGCTTAATGAAACTATGGAATTTCAGGACTAAGGACAGAGGATTTCATTATCTATGGTGACAACATGCAAACACTAAGCAATGTTTAAGTGTTTGAATAACATTAGAATTTTCATTCACACGGTGATAAGATTACCTTAAAAAATAACTGGTTTTGTTAACATTTATTCCTATGAATATTCATGAAAAAAAGATTTGAGAGTAAATTCACATTTCATTTTTGTCAACAAAACTAGTTCACTGGGTTAGAAATGGATTTTGATTATTTCCACATGTCCTCCCTGAAGTTTACTTGTCTTGGACTAGCAGACTTTTGTTACTTCTAACCCTTATACAAACCATTAACATGTGCAGCATTTACAAAGAACCATGTGAATTACATCTTTATGTGCAAAGTTGAAACTAATGGGGGTCCTTGAAGAATTCTCCTTTGGTATTTGAATCTCGACACCCCAGCGTTAGAAACTGGCACTAGTCCTATAGTCCTTGCCAAACTGCCCAATGGTAAAGGTATCATAAGGCCTAGTAGAAATTTGCCCTTTTTAAGGGTTTTGCTATACGTGGACGAGTGGACGAAAACTGTTAGTTTCTAACCCTGCGTGTGACCCCCTAATTCTTAAAATTTTAACATTAGGTTTCTGACAGGTCAAGGACTCTTTGATTTCATCATCAATTTCAAACACTGTATGTAAGAGACCAAAATGAGATTTCTCACATGACAGGCATGTACAGTAGAACAGGGACATAACGAACTACAAGGGACCGGAGAAAGCAGTTTGTTATATATGTTCCAGCTCGGAAACATCCGCCATCTTGGATAAAACAAAACACAATACACGTAATTGCCTCATTTACTTGCATTAGCAGTGATCACTTCATATCATTCAAATAAAATCATTTCATAACATTCATTTAATAACAATAAATGCATAACATTTTCAGAACATTGTTCATCAAATATGTATTTAGCATTTCCAATTTACATACAGGGAGATGTGTAGTTGGTGGTTTTGCTCTGGCCTTGTTTTGCTGACTGCATTTGTGAAACTGCATAGGTTTAATGTTTGTTTTACAGACAAGATTAGTCCAATTACAGATTAACATAAATCAAGTTTGACAAGGTTGAATCGTCACCGCTGATTGTGTTGAGTTGCCACTGATTGCATGCAGCCAATTCTCAGTGACACTTGACACTGAATGAGATTTCTCAGTTCGCTAAACACGTCACTAATTAGTGGTATTTGGGCTTGTTAGGGATCAGATATCAGTTCGCTGATATATGTTATTTTGCTGAAGAGAGTGTACATAAAGTTTATATAGGAGATAAATCGTGGATTTTGTAACAGTTCGTTCGCTCTATCCGTGTTTTATTGTAAATGGTAAACTACCATTGCATCTGCTTGCAATATCATGACAAGTGTGTGTAAGTCATTCTAATGGTGGTAGAACATGTTGTAAATATATTTTTAGTACTGAACTACTAGTGAAAAAAAATATCAAGTGCTGTTGTGGTCAGATTTGAACCACAGGCAACAGCAGAGGATGGACCTTTCCAGAATGCTTTTATAGTGGAATTAGAGTTATCTGCTCTTGTGATGTAGATGAACATTGCAGGCTTGATTGTTCAAGAAACTGGTTTGAACATTTTCTAGAAGGCTGGCTGTATTACCTAAGAGTGACAGGAAAGTGTTTTGAGGCCTTTTTCCACCTGACTTATTTCTCGTCTAATGTGGATAGGATATTGACCTGGAAACACCGAAGTCCTGCAAGCTTCCAACACTATACTGGAATCCAGCAGGGAGACGGGTCCTTTTTCAAGACAATCAACAATGACAATATTGTGAACATTCGAGAGTGCATGAACAATACTTCTAGGGCCTGTTACATATTGCTGCTGTCACTTATTTGACCCAGTGTGTTGCCCGTGTAA